TGTGTGTGTGTGACTCATTTTCACCATCTTCAAAAGTTTATATAGAGAATTCTAAGCCCACAACACATATAGTATTGTAGAAAACCTTAATAATGTTGTAAAAAGTGCATGTTCATATCAAAATGCTACTTTTATTGACGTTTTTGAAGCACATAATCCATAAAAAATTCTTTGATAGACACACCATTGCAGCAAATAAAAAATCTATTTGGCATAAGAAATTTAAAAAAAATACTAAATAAGGTTTTATATTATGAGATTGTCGATCTTATAATATGATATATATATATATATATATAGATATATGAAGTGGCATTGATAATGTCTAGCTTAGTCTAAAACTGGAGGTAAAGCATTACTTTGGTGAATCAAGTCAACAATTTAATTTGTTCAACCAAGTAATGTTTGGACATGATTTCAAGTCATATTAAAATAAGATTTTGACATGACCAACAAATTTTGAATAGTATTTGAACATGGTTCAAATTGGTCCAATTAGGGTCAAATTATGTTTGAATATAATTCGAGCAATGTTCAAACTATGTTTAAATATAGTTCAAATATGTTTTACTTAAACATAGAAAAAAATACAACATAATGGAATAATAATAACACACTACAATACAAGTATTGCATCAAATGAGTTATAAAGTACTTAACATTGATGAAGCTAGCTTTTGTTCAAACCTTATAATATTTATATACTATTAAGTGCCAAATTTTATTGTTAATGTGCATATTTGGAATTCCCCAAAATATGCTCTTGAAGATTATATAGATCCATTTGAATTTATTTGAATATAAATATAATATCAATTTTTATATTAGACTCGGTTTCAAAATAAATTTTAAAATTTAATACACAGCCTAATCAACTTCTAACTAGATATCCTAACAACTTTTTCCATTATATTTATTTAAACTTAAAAGCAACCTAATATTATCTACAATGTGGGATTCAAAACCTATGAAACTAGTTCAACAAATTACACAAATCACTCATAAAACCAAAAAAAATCCAAGGATTTCGCTTTAAATAAATAAAAAAATAAACTGTACAAACCATATTTCTATCCATACATATAACCAGGACTACTAAACTTGCAAGTAATCACTAGTCATACAATATTAGAAGCACTATTATTCCATGTAACTTTTAAATATTAGTTGCTTCCATAAGCACTAAAACATATTTGTTGAGGTTGAAAAACTATGAATATGATTTCTTATGTCTCTCAATATAAGTTGATGGTTGCAATCTTCTATTCCTTACAAGACAATGTATCGTGTCAGGGTTGCCTCTGCAAAGGACAGAGTTGAGCTTCAAAGATGGGAATCGTTCTAAGCCGAGGAATCGAAAAGAAGAAGCTAATAAAGAGATGCATGCAAAGTGGTGGTTCGGCTTGCGCGACTGAGTGGCAACCGAGTTGCTATATTCCGTGTTTGTTGAGCGAGTCGATGATGCTAGACTTGTTTTTGAGAGCTCCTTTCCCATATTCTCTATATCAAGCCTTACGAACATCACAATGGCGTGACGACATAGAGGACAAGCTATACACCCCGGCGGGCCTTGCACCGAAATTGATGTTTGGTTGGTGGAGCATAGATATAATGCACATTTGGTGCAAAACTCATGACCACAACCTGAGAAAATCAATATAATTATGAATATGAAGAGAAATCAAGTCTAAATAGTGCTGATTGTATGGGATTTAACTCTCATGCTATTTAGTTACATGTAATGATGAGTACCAAACTGAGTGTTGTCAGAATACATAAACATCTTAGGAGATGATCAACATTATCATCAGCATTATCTTTGGCTTATTTATCCAAACTATGAGGGATGCTCCTTATGGTTTCTCATTTTAGATTATTTCAAGGTAAAATTACATTAGTTGCCAAACGAATTTTGTGCAAATATTTTTTAAACAAAACGAGCAATTTTGCCTAAAACAACCGTAGTAACAACGACAATTATTTCTACAAAGAAGGATTTGCTCTCATAAAATGTTATACATATATATTATACCAACTCTTGTTTCACTTAATTCATTTCATGAAACCTGAAAAGAAAACAACAAATAATGCAGTTTACTGGCAGAATTTTGATTGCATGTGAAAGAAGTTGCAGATAAGAGGCTCTAAAATATAAAGGGGATATTTATATATATACCATACAATTATTATGCACTTTCATATCTAACACCTAAACTTTCATATTTACATGCATAGCTCTCAATGCTTTAGCATCGCATCAAAAATATTGAAAATATTATTTTTTAGGAAAAATGAAATACATCCTGTCATGCATAGATTTATGACACCGAAGTTCTATAAATGTAAATATCAAACTTTACGTGTTAGTAAATGCTCAGAATTATATGGTATGCATGTAAATTTCTGGATATAAAAGATTCTCTATCACCTTTTAAGGGACACTAAAAATAAGTTATTAAAAAAAGTATTATCAGTGCATCAAAAGTTTATACCTTCTGCATATACTGTGCATCTTCCTTCCAAGCAAACTACACATGGATCCATGCAAGCAGGAGACTGGCTATAACTGTTTCTCCATCCACAATCTCTGTGCAAGATGAAAATACAATCTCAAGACTTGCTCGTGCACAAGATATAGAAATTTTTAGTCCATTTGGTTATGAAAATTGGATTTATGAAATGTTTAGGAATAAAATGTAAACAGTATAATGAAATGAGCATCATGTAATATGCTTGCGAAGCAAAAGCCACAACTCCCCCTAATGCAACCCTCGACAAACAAATGGCTTTCGTTTTCACATGTTTTAAATGATTTTCAAGTATTTTTCACTCCTAATCGGTGTGATTCATATTCCCGATTGCGGATCAAAAGATTGCTTCTTTATTTATTATTTCTTTTTCTCATTTTCTATCAACTTGATTTAAGATAACCTGTAAAATGTTCAGAAATTTTTATATGCATTGGTACATTCTTTGGATTTATTTTAAAATTATGAATGCCATGTCATAATGCAATAATTAGTATTATTTGTTATCTATAAGGATTTGATTTCTTCATTTATAGATATGATCGATTCTGATGTGAGGAAGAATTTGACTTGGAAGCATACAAAGTTAAAATTTGAGTCATATACTGTAATAAAGAAACCAAATGAGGCATATATCAAGTCAAGGATTACCGCGCCGGTTCTATTGGCGCATCCAAAATGACCAATGCAAGAAAGTGCCAAAAAGTTCTTTAGGGGTGAAGTACTAGTTGCTCATTAAGAAGGGAGGAAAAATTTAAAAATAGGTGTGATGGAGTATACTGAAGAATAAGGTTGTGAAATGCTCATATTTTGTGGAAAGATATATCTTGAATAAAAGTTGAAATGGAATGAATCAATACACCTAGCATTGCGTCAAGAGCTCAAGAAGAAAGATCAGATGGATCATTACATAGTAACTTGAAAAGAAAACTGTTAAAAGAAGAAATATAAGACAAATGAGGATCAAACTTAGATAAGGGATTGAAGAACATATCATAAAATAAATAGCTAGTTGGTTATATCAAAGGCAGCATATTATTCAATGCAACAAAGTTTAAATTTTTAAGCATATGATATAATCTATTAGGTGATAATATTAATCGAGCCTTAGACTACCAGCTTATCACATATTGAGTGCCCATTTTCTTTAAAAAATATTAGAAAAAACTAAAATCATAGTGGAGAACCACAAAAAGTTATGGGAAGGATAGGGCTGCAATACTATTTTAGATGGAAAGATTGATCACAGACAGGCTTGATAATCAATAATTAACAATAAAAACAATGTAGTTGCAATAAATCAATGAATCAAATTATCTGAAGGTTGTATCAAAACTCTTTGAGCTCCATGAGTCGTAGTTGAAACGAATGAATAAGAAAAAGTGGAGCATATTAGTTACTAATAATCAGTCTACATTTTAGTAAGTTCATAATACGTCATTTATGGTATTTTCTTTTATATTTATAATTTTTTATACATTGTAAATAAATATTAAGCTCTGAAAATTTCTTAACCTAATAGGTTGAATGCTTGTAGATAAGAGGATGCATCTATATTAGCAACATCCCATTCAATAGATCCAATATTGAAGGATATTAGAAAAATTAATTAAGTAAAAAAGCACTATTAGGAAAGCCATGAAATTAACTGGCTTTGAAAAGATCAAAGTATATATGTGCTAGTTCTCATTATAATGAAAAAATATCATAGTCCCCGGCTCGTCCAAACATGCATATATTTTAAGAAACTGTGAAGGTCCATGCTCGTCTTTGAAGATTGGAAAAGGTTCAAATTTAGGTTTTATAATAAATGAAGGAAAGCTAAAGAGATCATCCTCAAGCATTATAATTTCATTCTATAAAACTTATGCTTTGAAAATTATATACCGAGTGAAACTATTGACATTAGTCGATGGTGATAAGAGGTCAACTATAAGTTATATTTATAATGTAATGAATAAGGTGACTTGGACAATTAATAAAGCACTTAGAGAAAAAGGAAAGTAGGAGCGAGCCTTTCATATCATTAATGATAAAGGGAGAGAGGTGTCATCTACTATTTTAACCCAAAAATTTTAATAAGAATACAAATAAAATACAAGTAGTTGTAAAATTAATGGAGCGATATGTAGTTATTAATAGGTTGGTGAGAGATTCAAAAGAGAAAGGGAAAGGGACTCCAGATAGTCCTCTATTTATGATCATATTAGAGGCCACTTTCAATGGAGTGCCATCTTCAGTAGGGTAAGGCAAAAACCATAGATTTATTAATCAACATTACAAAAATTAAAATTTTTTTTTTTTATATAAATTTTGTTGCTTGATTTTAATATTGCAATTTTGATGCAAGAAAATGGTGAGAGATGTACGATGCATGAACCACAACTTAACATTAAAAGAAAATTAAAATTTTAGACTTGTAACACTCAGATATAAGAAGAACCAAAGTATCTTCAAATAGTTTAAACATTTATTAATTTAATATATACTTTATAAAATACTCATATTACAACTTCCATTTTGATTGCATTTCTATTAATTCAGGTGAAAATAGAAAACCATTGGATCAAAAGCATCTAAATAACTTGGCATCTAATGAGTACAAACAAACTTTGAAAAAAACATGCAATTTAAGGGATATTATTGATCTAATTAATCCAAAATGTATTATGAATTTTTTTATTAGATAATTAAGAAAATAGAGGATGATGAGGAAGAAAGCTTCAAAGAAGAAGGTCCAACTTTAAAGCAAATAAAAAACATTAGAAGAAGTTGGTTGAAGATGGTTTGCACGATTTAATAGATTCTTTTATTTCTCATTTTTCTATGATTTAATAGGTTAAAAAAAAGAGAAGGTTCATCTGTAATGAGGATTTCAATTTGCATCGACTTCTATTTCTGTTCTTTAGAAAGGGAAGATTAAGTTGACTCATAGCAGCAGAAACATTAAAAAAAGGGTTTGAAGAAATTATAATATGAATAAAAAGAGGACAGTGAATAATGATATTTTACCTTGTTTTGTGAGATTTAAGACAACAACAACAAAACCTTTATCCCACTAAGTGGGGTCGGCTACATGAATCCTTTTTCTCCATTGCATCCTATTTAGTGTCATATTTTCATTTAATTTTAATAATTTAAGATCATTTTTTATACAATATGCCCAAGTTATCCTAGGTCTACCCCTGCCTTTCTTAACATAAATCGAATCTAAAACATCTACTCTTCTAATAGGATCATGAGATGATCAACGTTTAATGTGACCAAACCATCTAAACGACTCTCTCTAATTTTGTTCGTTACTGGAGCTTCGTTACTGGAGCTACAGAGCTACACCAACCCTATCACGGATATATTCATTTCGCTTTTTGTCTTTAATTTTAAAGTCAATCATACACCTAATCATTCTCATCTCGGCAACAATTAACTTAGTTTTAGGCTTCACTTTTAAAGGCGAACATTCAGCGCCATAAACTCGTCATTTAATATTTTGCTAATATCTATGCATAATAGAAATTGTTAGATATTATAACTTAAATGTTCACTTTTAAAGATTATCTTCATCATAGGTATTTCCATCATTTTTCTTTTTATTCTAAATAAATTCTAATTAGTTTATTTAATAATTCATAATTTACTATTATTATTAAATGTATCATTGTATTTGTTGAAAATAATATTATATGACGTGATTTAAGTTTGAATAATTAAATAACTATTATATGTACATACATGACGTACAAATTACGGGCACTATAGTTAAAAAAATGTATCTTCATTTGGCAAGTTGAAGTATAAGAGAAAAACATGCATTGCATTGTGCTATGATCTATAAAAACATTGAACCTTAAATTGAGTAAAAGTAAGCACTCAAATTTGAGGTTGAAGTTGATTATATAAGCAGTTTGAAACTAAAACTCAACTAGAACTACACTCAAGTAACAATCAACCTAAGATCATATTTGAACCTAAATTGCAATAAAAAATTGAATCTAATCTTGATTGAAAGTTTACCTTTCAAGTGAAATCGATTCTACACTTCAATATTTTGAATAAAAATAAGACATGTTCCTAACTATGAACCTTGCATTTTTAAAAAATCTTGAATCTAATCCTTTATGTGAAGTTGATCAAATCATGCCTCTTGTAGTTGATGAGCCAATTGATCAAACTATAAAGTGATGCATGCATGCAAAAGTGAACATGCCAACTATATTTGATGAATAAAGTGAGTAAATTCATAAAGTTATTCCTAATATACTAAAAATTAACATTATTCCTATGATGATTGTTCAAATTGATATCAATTTTCTTTTAGGTCCATGGTTTCTGGATATAACAATACATATAAAGAACCTTAAGAATAAACTTAAACTATCAATATTTAGAAGGATTTGTTATCGATGAAAGCCTTCAAAAAACAGGAAATATGAAATTAAAAATTTTTATCTATCTAATCCACTAAAGAAATGCATAGAGTTGTTCGTCCATGTAAACATGTCATATTTATATAGTTTATTTGCAATTCAAATTTTTTTATCATCTTGTCATTCAGGAATAGATAACAGATCATTATTGGTATCACTTATAATGCATATTGGCATATATTTTTATTCTTGATTTATTTCACATTAGTCATTACCATGATTTGCATGATTCACATTATCTGCGTGTCCATATTAACAGAGATCAACTGATATTTATGAAAACTATAAGTCAATTGAAAAGCAATTAGGAAACATGAATATGTAGATGAGAAAATGGTACAACGCTTTACCATAAATACTAAAAAAAATAAAAATTCATTAAAATTCTAATATTAGTCTAGCCTTAAACATATCAAAATTGAATTTATTTCATCAAACTGCCACCAACATTCACCAAACTAAATGATAGAACATTAGTAAATTTACCATTTTTCAAATCTTATTTATAACTCCAGCAAGCAATTGCGACCAAAAATAAATCTAATCTATCAAACTAGAAACAATTAGAGTGTTGTTCGTTCATGTAGAATATAATGGGCACAAATGAGTGAGCAAGACTTCTGAGACAGCCAGATGATAAACTATAACAATGATTGATATACTCATACTACAGGCATATAGGCTTACTGAGATGGATGAAGGTGAAACTAGCAAGGTGTAGATGCACTGATTGATATACTCAGTTTATCCACACTTCCTCGCAAGCTCTACTTTCACTCACTTAAATAAGCCTATATGCATAACATGAGGATATCAATCAAAACCATACTTAATCACTCGGCTAACTTAGAAGTCTTGTTGACTCATCTGTGCCCATTATCCTCAACATGAAAAAACAACACCCTCATTGCTTCCCGTTTATTGATTATATTTATTCTAGGCCCCATTTGCTAGCTGAAGTAAAGAATAAGTTTTAAAAAATGGTTAATTTATCATATTCTATCATAAAGTTTGATGAACTTCCAAATAACTACAGACATTAATCTCAACATATACCACCAAAATACCTCAAATGTAAAAATTTCATTCAACAAAATAATGAGTGAAAATAAAATCATCATTTTCTAAACAAAACTGGCTACTTCTAAGAAACCTAGCACCTTGCTATAATTTACGTGCTAGCCATACATGAACTTCACATCGCATAATCACTTTTAAGACAAAAACCTTATGCTCATATACGAACAAACAGTTGCAAACAAAAGAAAAACAAATATAGCAGAATAAAAAATAGTCTTGCTTAATGACATTGGCTAGAAAAAAATATACTTTGAAGAACAAAGAAATTAAAATGCAAGCTAACCGGGCAATTTTAAAAATGCTCTGAAGAGGTAATGATAGACAAGGGGAAGGAAGAATCCGCATCCGGCCTTGATTTTCATCGCTTAGAATATTCTCAAGCCAATTTCTACGCCATGAACGAGCCACCATTAATGGTGTTGCACTGAGACAAAAATACAGGAAAATAAAAAATGATCTAACTTGTTAATAAAAAAGGTATGTTTATATTTTTGGTTTTAGATGGCAGCGCAGAACCTTAACAAGCATGTTATAGCACCAGAAATAATTATATCTATCACAGTAAAACTTAATTCTCAGTCTGAGATAAATGAAAAAGTGTTATTGAAAGGTTGTTTAGATGACTGGAACAAGTGACCACCATGTCATATTAAAAACAACCAAATTATATCCTAAGTCACCATTCGTCATGATATAAAGAGTAAAAGAACTATCTTTTAAAAATTTAAATATATCTTTAGCATATTGCATGTTTAATCTCTTGGCGACTTTTGTTATGGCCGACTTGAACAACTCAAAATCATAGTTTTAATGAGGGTTGAAGAAAGAAGTAGCATTTAGAATCATCCTATGCACATTCCACCTCAGTCATTTCCAACATCTCAACAGCCAAAGATAGCACATTGCTTGGAGAAGGAATAGAAAGAAATTAAAACAATTCTACAACAATACTGATTCCAAATATTTAAGAACAAAAGGAGTAGAAAGACAGAGAATACTAGAAAGATAACTGAACTGAAAACTGAAGCCAAGTGACAACTACTACTAAACACTTGAGTAACATCTACATTTTCTGGGTGTATACAGATATTGGGCATCATGCTTGCTTACATTTTACACAATTAAATCACAAGATATCCATCTTGTATGTTTTTTATGAAATATTAAAAATTATATTTCTCACCCGTTAGCATTTTTAGTGGAAAGGTTGGCTCCTCTAGCAATGAGAACCTGCAAGCTTTTAGGCTTAAAATATCAAATCAGAGTTTGACTTGATAGGAAGAAACAATAAAAAATAAAATGGCATACTTGGCAACAAGCAGTATTTCCACCACAAGCAGCATAATGAAGAGGAGTGCTACCTGCACCTATCAAATAGAAGCAACAAATTCTTACAAAGAAGAGGTGTACATGAGCCAAGTTTGAGCGAGATTAGTGTGCATTCATGTACAACTTGTTCGATAATATATTTGCTCATGTTCGAAATGGCTTGTAAATAGCATATTCATTTCGGTTTTTTTTTTCATTTGCGCTTGTGCTCAGCCTGAATGACGAAAAAATATAAATTCTAATATTTTTACATAAAGCATAAAAAGATAATATTAAAATTTTATAAGAAATATTATTTAATTAATTCAAGCTAAAATGAGTTAACTTAGTTGAAGAAAGGTCAATTCATGTTCAACTCGTGTATAATTGAGCTCAAAATAAGAGTTTGTACTCTGCTTGCTTAACGAACATATCGAACACGAGCTACTTAGCAAGTCAAACACAAATTTTTTGCGAATAATGAGCTTTCTTTAAAGCCTTACTTACAAGGGGGTTCATGAAATTGTTCCCCGTAAAAATGCGAATCACAACAAAGATAACTTCAATATGAGCTTCCATGTAAACATTATTTTGGTTAACAAGGCTCATCCTTAAAAAAGAAGAAAGAAAGAAAAATCTGCATCACAATGATAGCTCCATGATACCCTTAACTAGTAAACGCTTGATGAAGTGGAAATTTGATAGGGGAAACCACTTCTTCTTCTAAAGCACTACATTTCGCACATTATCAATAACAACTTTTCTTAACATTGAGCTGAGAAATCTCCTTCATCAAGAGTTCTCTTTAATCAAGAGAACTAACAGTGAGGGCTTAGGCCACTGGGAATCTTGAATTCTATACTAAATAAACCATGACCTAGCCAATCTATTTGGCAAAGAAAGTTATTGTGCTCTTGCATAAGATTTTGGAGTTGTTTTTGATTGGACATACAATGAAGTTAATGGGTACCATAACAAAACCACAGCTTTAAAAAGTGCATTGTTATCGAAGAATTGCATTGACAAAATAAACCCACTATGATGGTATTTTTTATGATTGGCTAATAAAAGGAAAATTAAAAAAATTCTTCTTGATGTTGAGAAGGCATAAATTATTGTACAAATTAATTTGTTGCACATAAAGAAAAAATAATCTCAATTTTCCATTAAAATGATAAAAAATATGCATTATCAAGTATTGACTAAATTTTGAGATAGTTGTAGGGTGACAAAAATTCGCAATCACAAGAAGGATCAATATTAAGTTTGCATAATTCATATTAATTACAGAGATGCTTACTAATGATATTCAAAATAAGGCACCATTTAGTATGTTATTTATAGATGATTTCTAAATGGTGAGACTTTTGTTGATATATGTGAAGATTTAAAACAACAACAGCAAGCCTTTATCCCACTAAGTGGGGTCGGCTGCATTCCTATTGAGTGTCATATTTTCATTTAACTCTAATAAATTAAGATCATTTTTTATACAATATGCTCAAGTCTTTATAGGTCTACCTCTGCGTTTTTTAACATAAGTCGAATCTAAAACTCTATCGCGCTAACTGAATCATCAGATGGTCAACGTTTAATGTGAAGATTTAAAAAACTGGAAAAATGTTCAAAAAACAAGAGGTTTAGAATCAACAAAAAAAAAAAAGATTGAGTAGATGCTACACAAGCCATGAAATCAATTATTATTGCTTAATGTTATTTGAAATTAAGCGATACATGGGCGTGATCCGTTTCAGTATCTTAGATCATTATTAAATTTAAATAAAGATATTAACAAAAATATAACTATTAGAGTTAAGGTCGTATTATTGAAAATGAAATCCTTCCAAAGAGTATTGTCAATTTAAAGAACATAATTAATACATTAAAGTAAATAATTGGTCCAATTAGGGAGGTTGTAGATGTCTATAAAAATAATTGTAAAATTGTTAGCAACTGAAAATAAAGGAAACTTTCACTTCAGAAAAAGTTGAGAGAAACTTTCTTACAACAACCACATTCTAGCAAATTTTATTATTAAATCCATTCTCATCACAAAAAATCCTGAAAAATAAATAAGAAATCTATAATATAATCAAAGAAAAGTGTGATTGTTCTCTAGAAAATAAAGTTGTTAAAATGTTACTCCAAATGAATCGACAAATGAATGATAAATCAATGAATGATAAATTAAAAAACAGCTATATTAAAGAGATGATGAGTGTAATACTTTCTATAGACAAGAATGTAGAAAATAGGCATAGATGATTTAGAAAAGCACGATGAAGGATAAAAATCTATCAATTAGAAGATTAAATAAAACTTATGTGAAAAGAAAGAAGTGGAAAATGAGTAAACAAAGTAATGTGAATAGAAGTTTACAAAAAGCTTTGTGCACAAGAAATTTGACAACACGTGCAGCACGCAATGAAAATGAGAGGAGAAAAAGGATTCGTAAAACTAACCCCAAATAACTGGAATACAGTTGATGAAAGTGAATGACTTAAAATAGAAATAAGGATTTGTACAACAATGCCAAAAAGCTCTAAAGTTGATGTTGATAATGATTTCTTAAGTTGTACTGCCTTCAACCTCTAAAGTAGAGGTATATGGTTCAAATCCAAAAAAGAAAGGAGAAAAAAAAGGATAGTAACATAGTGCAATAATTGGAAAATAAGAAAAATCACCAATTAGATCAATTATGGCACCATCATTCAGCGTGACCTCAAAGACACTGGCTCCCAAATCCAATAATAACTGGACGCTTTCAGCATGCCCATTTAGTGCTGCCATGTGAAGTGATGTGATGCCTCCATCAGCCCTTCCATTAATTACCTCAGACAGTGCACTAACAGATCACATAATGTAAAAAGCATGTAAAACCAACAAATCACAAAATAAATATATAAACTCGGAATACTAAATCCGTCTTTGTGCTTACTAGAGATCAAAGTTAGCAGTAAAGGATGCTTCAATGGATCCATTCATTATATGCCAAAATTCAGGTATACTTGGCACATAATCAGCAAGGAGGAGACGAATGCAACGAGTGTGCCCATTCAGAGATGCGAGATGCAAGGCTGTTCCACCATGGAGATAATCCTTTTTCTTAATCTAAAATTTAATTTCAGGAAACATCTCAAATAGAAATTATAGAATGGAGCTACTGAGCAAAGATAAAATGCATACATAAAGTACTCACATTTGCATTAAACAGCATTAGAGTCTGAACAACTTCCCAGTGACCATATTGACAGGCCAACATTAAACCAGTCTGTTCATTAAAAGAGTTAAGAGCACAGTTGTAACCATTTATGGGTCCCCTAATCTATATGCAAAGTGTATCTAAATCTGTCTTTATTCATGACTAGAAGTATCAAAGTGATTGACATGTATAGCAACAATATAACATAAGCCAAAAAAGACTATTTGGTTGAAATTGAAATAGATTAAAAATAATCTGAACTATTGCAAAGTATGCCAAATTTTGCACATTTAATTCGTAGTAGTTTTATGAAGGAAATGATCTAAGATCTGGCTCCATGTAAAGTACATGCTGCTATTTCTCATCAAACAAAAACATCATAACTTCTTTTGCCGCAACCAACAGTCTATGAAAAGATGATCCAATCAAACAGAACTCACCAAACCTCGAGCATTCCGCAGATTGACATCAACTCCAGATTCCAGAAGTAAGGCAACAACCTACGATATGGATAACATAATCAACAGCTTAAGTGACTTCAAGAAGATGTCAATTTAATCAGGAAATGAATCCAGACAACAGTTCAAAGGGCTCATTTGGTCAACTTAAGTAAGACAATCGGTTTCAAAAACGACTAAATTTATTACATCCATCACTTTATTAGGTATGTTAAGGAACTGACATCGATTTTTAACTCAATAAACTCACAAAAATCCTCTCAAATGTAATGATTTCTCCACCACATGCAAAACAAGTGGGGTAAAAAAAAAAAAATCAAATTTTCAAAAACAAGCATTCAATCTACAAAATAAGCCCTAAGAACAACAAAAATTCATGTGCCACAGAGTGATTTTAATAACCTCATGGTGACCCTGAGCTGCAGAGAAATGAAGAGGAGAATTCTTGAAACCAAAAGTGGAGTAGTTGACAAGCCGGGGATTATGATCTAACAGAGCTTTGGCTTCGTGCAAATCTCCATCTCTACTTGCAGACACCAGCCGCTCACCGGTCGCGGAGCACCCGAACGAATCACCAATAAAACCTAAATTTATCATGATCTCGAAACCCTAGGCCCTTTTCCTAGAACTATCCAAAAAAAGATTCCTCCGCTGGACCAAATGCCTCCTGCTTTATCAAATAAGTAAACATCATGATCAAAATCCCCCAAATGACAGCATAAATCATCCCCAGGAGTAAACAATTACAATTAAAAAATACCCTTGTGAAGAATTCAACTATAAAATACGGGAAAAAATGGCCCCAATCCATCATTGTCAACATAGAAACGTAGCGCTTTCAAAAGAACTAAGAGTAGAAGTCAACAATGACGAAATGTGGGGAACGAGATCAAAAAACATAAAGCAACAAAAAAAGATTCCATCTTTCGCCTCATACCATCGTGCAGAGGCCGGAGCTGAGAGAAATGGAGAAGAAGGAAAATACGGATGGGGAGGCCAGAAACGGACATATGGAAGAAGTCAGGGAAGCATTATTGAAGCTGAATGGTTGTACTTATTACTGAAGTCCGGGAAGAAAGCGGTTGCCTTTGCACCGAAGAATTACCGACAAGAAGATTTCTTACTGCATTGAAGTAACCGGGAGCAGAAATAACAGCTCCAAGCATCAGCTTGTCCTGCCCTTTGTAAATCCACTGGTTTTGAGGGGTGGATTTGAAATTGTTGAGTTGAGTCTTTGTTGCCCCAAAATTTTTATATCAAATCTTTACTACAAATCTCAAGCTAATTTTTTGAGTAATAAATATCGAAATTCAATTAAAAATAATTTAGAACTTTAATATTAGCAAATTTAATAGCCAAACTATCTGCTCGACCAAAAGAATACAGTAATTCAGAATTGGCTCAATTTGAGTCAAATCAAACCCAGATCGAGCCATCAATTCATTTTGTAAAGCTTTTGATGCTCAATTTAAAAGCAAGACAGATTTCAAATCTCACAAGTTTATAGTCACATAAGAGTCTCGATGAGACGAATCCAATGAGTCCAAGATCACCCAATTCCAATATCGTTAAGGTTTTCAAATGTCATAAAAATACAATATAATTGAGATGATCTCTCTGAATTGTCTGATGGTGTGGTCTAGTTTCTTTTCTTGTTTGTAGGGAGGCTTCTCCCATACTCTATAAATAAATTCAACGCCCTTTTGAAAGGATACCGAGACCTTGAACCAAAGAAAATTGGAGCTTGGAGGAGGAGTTGAATCCCTTGTGTTCTCAACCGAAGTTCTAGTGAATATCGCACACTCCTGTAGTCATCGTCCACCGTTAACTACCACTCATTGGTCGTTGTTGACCACAGCTTGTTGTCCATATTAACCACCATTTGTAGTCACCTGCTTCTAGCGGTGAAATCTCTTATGGAGTCATAACGTGTGTTGCAGAATCCCAGCATATGTTGTGAAAAAGTGAAGCACCCAATAAGGTAAAACGTCGTTCGGTACACCATGCAGTGACGCACCTCGAAGATTGTGTTGGAGTTCTAGCAACTGTTCGTAGTTGCAGTCGTTCTCGGCCATATTGTGTAATAAATATTGTATCATGAAGAACTGCATAGTCTTTTCTCACCCTTGAGATAAGGATTTGTGCATGTAATCATCAATTTATAGTAGATTGTTTTGATTGGGCTAGACCTCGTGGTTTTTTTCTTTTCTAAATTTTCCACGTAAAACCTCTGGTGTCTCTACATATCGTTTTTATTATCTTAGTGTGTCATGGATTCTTGTGCAACAGTAAGATGATAAATCATTACTCTACCTTCTTGAATTCTTTAGCACATACCATTTTGGCGTCGTCTGTGTAAAAGGCGATGCCACCCGTTGAATGTGAGACCTATTGAATGACCACCAAACACAACACTTGCAAAAAATGGAGCATCCTGCTCCAACACCCATAATTTCAAAGGACAGCCAGGGAGCCAAGGGCTTTATGCCTTTACGTCTTCACCCTGTAAGGTGTTACCTGCTGGCAAAGGCCCCTTAGGTCCTTCTTTGGAAGACCAAGTACGTGGAATTGAGGAGTCTCAACTAGAGATTCTCTAGCTCCTATGATGTGCTTCTCTTTTTTGTGTTTTTCAGCCATTCTCAAGTGTTAAACTTACACTTAGTTATACTCTCTCCTGAGGAGCACCATCAACATCTTTAATGATCTTCCTAGACTATTTGTAGAGTAGTTTATAGTAAATAGAAGGATCATAAAAAATTCATCCAATCCCTTAGAAATTTTTGAAAACGAGGGAGAGTTGCTAAAGTACGATTTACACAGGTTCTCCAAAGAAGTTTGCCAGATTCCAGGGCTGGATTTAGAATTTTAGAGAGAATTATTCCTCAATGGGCTTCGACTAGGACATTTCTACTCATCATTGATGTAGGAGACATTTTTCTCTTACACTTGTCCCTGAATTTCCATCATCCAGCGAATCTTGAAGTGTGTCATAAATCTTGAGGTAATTTTTTTAGCAATGAATGTTCAAACTAGAACACTAATTTCAGCAAGCTTATATTAAAACTCACCGGCTCATGCGACTAACACAATAACATAAAAAATGGTCCATTCCAGGTCAAATCAAGATCAAGTGAAATTCTGGTGCTTAATTAAAAGGTCAAATAGATTCCAAATTTGATAAGCTTATAGTTGAATTAAGCGTCTCATTAAAATGAATTCAACGAGCCCAAGCCCACTTAATTCCAATATAGTTAAGGAATTCAAAAGTCCTCACAATGTTGTCAATCGTGGGGATCTCTCTAGATTGTTAGATGGCATGGTCTGAATTCTTTTTTATTTACAAAGAGGCATCTCCTAAACTCTATAAATATATCTCTACCCCCATTTTGGGAGGGGATGAAGACATTGAACCAGAAAAAGACCAGAATTTGGAAGAGGAGTTGTCTAAACTAAAGATCCAATAAATGTTGTCTGCTTCTGCAGTCGCCAACCACTATTGACCACTGCTCATCTATTGTCATCAACCACCATTAGCCGTCACTCGCTCCTTATGGTGAAATCTCTTGAGTCATAACCTACAGTGTGGAATCCCATCATATGTTGTTGAAAATTGGAGTAGCAAAGCATCTGACAAAGCAATGCGCCTTCTAACACACTGTGCATTGATAAAACTTAAAGATAGTTCACAAGAGTTCCAACAATCATTCCCGACTGCAATACCTTCCTATCATTGTGCAACTAATATTATACCTTAAATAACTATGTAGTCATTTCTCGCCTATAAGGCGAGAACTTGTGAGTGTAATCTCACCAATTCATAGTTGATTGTTCTAACTAGACTAAACCTATGTCTTTTTCCCTTTTTTGGGGCTTTCATGTAAAATTTTCTTGTATCTCTAGCTAACACTTTTATTATTTAAGAGTCTGTTTGGCGCAGCTGCAGATTGTCAGATTTTCAGCTGCAGCTGCGCTGCCCCAGGAAGCAGCTGTGGGGGCTAAGAGAACCTA